ATCAATAAGTGTGTGTTGGAGATTAACTGACGGGCTGAACTGGACTCAATTCGGCAGTCTCTGGAGTGGCCTGGAGTTGACCAGGGAGAAAGGAGCACATTTCAAGGACCGGAACAATGCAGCTGAGGCATTTCGGCCTGACTCTGCATTAAAACCAGCCCAACAGGAGTGGCAGGCCCATGTGAATGGGTAGTTAGACATCCACCAGCAGGGGCCTTGGCATGCACCTGTACGTTGCCTGGGGCCTTGCCAGGTATTAAAATATTGCAATCCTGTGGAATCGTCGTTAAATATTTTGAACACACGCCCCGGACATGAGATTACACACATCTCCAAGGGACTTAAACAGAGGAATGTGACAGAAATGCGGTTTCAGGAAGACCTTTTTGGCAAGTGTGGTCTTCTGCTGGATCTCACCAGGAAGGACAGAGGGAGGCACTTTCATGCTCCTGTGCCTGGCTTAGGTGACAAGTTGTTTGTTCTATCATCACTTCATAAGGAGTGGTCAGACAACCCTCGCCCAAGCCACCAGTTCAAGACAGATGAGCTGTGTTCATGTGGACAGACACAGCCCCGTCTCGCCTGCCTTTGGGTACCCAGACTGAAATGACCAAGGCTTTCAGGTTTTTCTGACTAATACTTTCAGATTCTTATCAACTCATTGAGTTTCCTAGAAAGTGCTCTTAAGTCTCATGTCCCTTGCTACTAATATCCTCCTCCAGGGCATGAACAGTGATACGGCAGTTGGGCATACAAGATAAGGGCAGGGAAGTATCCATTAGGGGGGGCACCTGGGTGGCTCGCTAGGATATGCATCGGACTCTTGATTTCGGCTCAGGTCATGATCTCAGGATGGTCAGACTGAGCCTCTCTTTGGGCTCCGAGCTCAGCGGCGAGTCTGCTTGAGATTCTCTCCCTCTGCCCCTCCCCCCCACTCACATGTGCATGCTTATGTGCGTGCGCACATGCTCTCTCAAATAAATAAATAAATCTTTTATTTATTTGACAGAGAGACAGGGAGAGAGGGAACACAAGCAGTGGGAGTGGGAGAGGGAGAAGCAGGCTCCCCGCGGAGCAGGGAGCCCAATGCAGGGTTTGATCCCAGGACCCTGGGACCACGACCTGAGCCCAAGGCAGACGCCCAACAACTGAGCCACCCAGGCGCCCCTCAGATAAATAAATAAATCTTAAAAAAAAAAATCCATAAGGTTTAGCTCCTGGGGAAGATCACTGGCATGGGAGCAAGGGCAGGCCTAGTCTTGTGCGTAATGGGGGTGGAGGATATGTGCCCAGGAATGAGGAACAACTGTAAGAAGCAGCAGAATGGAAGACAGGCAACCCCTTCAAAAAGCCTCACTGGGAAGAGCAGGTGAGTGATGGCCAAAGCCAGAGGCAGTTGCACGGTGAAATGGGGGATCCTCTACAAAAGTGAGGCTTCAGCTTGGGTCCCTTTCCTTACAACCTGGCTTCTCCAGTGGTCCCTGCCATCTCCTAAAACAGAGGCCACTTGTCCCTAGCCTGCTACTCTTCCAGGGTTTACAACTGTGATGCTGACTCCAACCTTGAAGTTGGGACCTTGCCACTCACTGATAAGCCATCTGCACACTGACTGCCACCTGCCGGGATTTCTGGGTACTCTCGCTGCGTTACCCCTTGCAGGGCTGTGCTCTGCTACCAGTGGGCTATTCTATACCACCACGGTGGACCCCACCCCCTTGCTAACTGTGTGTCTGAATTTCGACTGTAGGTTTTGACAATTGGGCTAATTTGACTGAATCTTTTTTTTTTAGATTATTTCTTTGTTTTTGAGAGAGAGAGAGAAAGAGCGAGAGCAGGGGGAGGGGCAGAGGGAGAAGCAGACTCCCCGCTGAGCAGAGAGCCTGACACGGCGCTTGATCCTGAGACTCCGGGATCATGACCTGAGCCGAAGGCAGATGCATAACTGACTGAGCCACCAGGTGCCCGCCCATGACTGAATCTTAAAGGTCAGCTCCTGGCTCCTATTTCACCCAGCAGCCAGAGAAGTCAGGTCCTGGCTTCATCCTCAGACCTCCATTCCACTATGAGCAACCTACCATACTCAACCAGTTCTTGAGATAGTCAACCACACGGTGAGCCAAACACAAGCCACATGAGTGTAGCCAACAGTGAGCGAGTAGTAGGGTGGGTACAGCCCAATGGTGACTGTCAGCTGGAAATCTCTGACTGTATTCACCAACCCCTAGAAGGTCAACTTCCTAACAACACACAACAGCAAATAAGCAAACCAAGAATGCAAGTTGGCCAGGGAGTGGGATATGTTAAGAATCTGAAATAGAACAGTAGCCATCAGAGCACCAAGAGAGACCAATGTGTCTCTGAGTAAAGAACAGATCCAGAGTTATCAGAACTAGATTAAAATGTGGGCAAAATCTGCTGGAGGGCTATGGGGGAGAGAACCTGTAAGTACACCTACTCATGAACACAGTGAAGGGAAGGAAAGTGGATCTACTTATAAACAGAAAATCAAAACTCAAGACCCTGGACAGTTTTGAGAAACTGGAGATGGAAGATGATCAGCCCAGAGTAAATCAGGCTGGGCAGTTAGGACAGCGACTTCCCCCAGAGTTTAGGACTGCATTTTAGGTACATCAGAAAGAGCCTCCAAATCTCTCTTCTACCTGTCCTTGATTCCTGAAATTAAACCATTCTTTTAGGGCTAGGTCCTCTTGAACAAAGAGCTTCCTGGGAAAGCCAACACTTGAAGCTACGGTTAGTTATTTGTCTTTCAGTCTAAGTTTCAAATTGTTTTTTGGGAGGCTTTGATGGGTGACATGTGAAGGCCCCCAGCATCCAGGGATGGGGCGGAGGCCCAAGCAGGGAGGAGAGAAATGAGAGCTGAGACCCCAAAGGGCACAGGCCCAGAGTGACTCACCCGGGTGTGGGGTGCCCATTATAAGCCTCTTGTGTTCTTTTTTTTTTTTTTTAAAGATTTTATTTATTTGACAGAGAGAGACAGCGAGAGCAGGAACACAAGCAGGGGGAGTGGGAGAGGGAGAAGCAGGCTTCCCGCAGAGCAGGGAGCCCGATGTGGGACTCGATCCCAGGACCCTGGGATCATGACCTGAGCTGAAGGCAGACGCTTAACGACTCAGCCACCCAGGCGCCCAAGCCTCTTGTGTTCTATCTTGACAAAAATGGCACAGGATTTATATCACTGCACACGAGTTGATAACTTCCTTTGCACACACTGATGGCTGACAGTTTGGCCGTGTCTCCAGCAGTTACACAATTTGACTTTTCTTCTGGAAGCCAGAGGCAATCTGACAATCTCCTCCAACACTGATCGTGCTATGGGGCTAAATTCAGGCTTCACCTAATTCAGTGCCGCCTATGACTCCCACTCCTTATACATGGAACGTTCCAAAGTCACTCATAACCAGCCTTAAGCTAGACGTGTAGGGAGTAGAGAGAACAGAGTTTTATGTTAGGATCAAGTTCAGCCCCAAATCCATACAGGTATATCTCTTAATGAAATAATAATGGCAGTTAACATTTACTCATTCTTTCCTCATACAAGTACTTACTGAGTACCTCCTATCCTGGAGTTTATATTCCAATGTGGGGAGACAAAGAAATACCTAGGGTGCCCAATGGCCCTGCTGCTGTGGAGAGGAATAAAGCCGGGGTAGGGGATGACAGAAGAACCTCAGCAGGAGGGAGGGGGGCTGGCTCTTAGATGCAGGAGGCAAGGGTGGGCCTCCGTGAAGGGCGACGTACACTTGGTGTGGCAGAGGCCCAGCCCGGAGAGGGCAAGGAGATGGGTAGGAGGTGAGGTTAGAGAGGTGGCAGGTCCAGGGCCCCGAGGGCATGGGCACCAGCTAAGGACTTAGGCTTTTGCTCTGAGACAGATGAGAAGCCATGGGAGCTTTGCGCCAAGGACTAACATGATCTGATTTGTATTTTAAAAGGATCTTCTGGTGGCTGTGTTGAGAAGAAACTTTAGGAGGACAAGGGCAGGTATGGAAAGAGGTGGTTAGGAGATGTAACAATAATCCAGAAGACAGACAACAGTGGCTCACACCAGGGTGGTGGCCATGGAGATGGCAAAACTCTTCAGATTCTAGATTTATTCAGTGGAGCTGACAGTGAGGGACCGAACGTGAGAGAGGTTGAGAAGGACTCCTAGGTTTGGGCCTAAGTGAACAGATGGGTAAAAGTGCTTTTCTGAGATGAGAAAGCCTCAAAGAACAGGTGTGTGTATATGAGAGGGAAGGAACTGGGGAGGCGGGGAGAGAAATTAGCAATCTGGTTTAGGATGTACCAAATTTAAGAAGTCTAACAGAAGTCTAAGTGATGATGTCAAGTACACAGAGCTCAAAACTGTTAAGAAATGTCCCCCCAAGTCCCATAGCCAGTAAGTGGCAGAGCTCTGAGTCCATGTCTGTGGACCTCCAGGTCTGGACCGGGCAACGAATGGGGAAGACAAGGGCTTTGCAACCAGAGATGGTCACTAACTATGTCAAGGAATCATCAGTAAGCTTAAGTAATAGACTTTTTGGCAATTCTGCCAGGGAAACTTGTAGAAAAGTTGTTCCCCAAATGCAGAGCATACTTCATACAAGGAATACTAAAATCCCTGTTACTATCACCTATAACATAAAACAGGCCCACATTGCCACTTTCTGAAGTTTTAAAAGGACAAAACAAAAAACACTTCCACCCTCTCCCTGTTGAGCCTCTGAATACAGCTGGACGGAGATTAGAAAGGGACTGAGACAAAAAAGGCCTCCAGGAAACAGCTCCCTGTCACGGTTACACCAGGGAGCTTGTCCTTTGAAGTCTCTCCCCATAGTGCTTAGATAAGATGTTTTCTACCCCAGACAATGGGCCATTCCTCAGAGAGGTGCTACCGGAAGGGAGAGAAACAAACACATACCCGTATGTAGAGTGTGTATGTGTGTGTGTGTGTGTGTGTGTGTGTGTGTCAATGTTAGCTTGTTTTGAACTCTGCTTCTTACCTGAATCCACATCAGAAGAGGAAGGAAGAGAAAGGGTTTCCACAGAATTAAACGCCTCGCTGTCGGCCTCCTGGTGGGGTCTCTGCAGCACATAATCTCTTATGTCATCAACTGGTGGCAAGTCCAAAGCACTGCTCTCCTCTGACTGGCTGTCTGAAGTGGCTTCCTGGGTCGCCATAGTCCTGCCATGGGAAAAACAATTCAATACAAAAGGCACTGCAGAAGAGGAGTCTCCATTTCCGCCACAGCTTGAAGGGTGCAAGTCCCAGAATACTTCATGTTCCTGTTAGTAATGGTCTTCCTTATCCTTACTTTAGACCCAGTATTTGTTTACCATGTTTCTTCATCAGGAGAAACAGACACTCTCAGCACAGAAAGAAACCATTAATAGGGCACCTGGGTGGCTCAGTTGGTTGGGCGACTGCCTTTGGCTCAGGTCATGATGTGGAGTCCTGGGATCGAGTCCCGCATCGGGCTCCCGGCTCAGCGGGGGACCTGCTTCTCCCTCTGACCCTCTCCCCTCTCATACTGTCTCTCTCTCTCTCAAATAAATAAATAAATAAAATCTTTAAAAAAAAAAAAAAAAGAAAGAAAACATTAATAATTTCAGCTGGAGGGGCGCCTGTGTGGCTCAGTCGGTTAAGCGTCTTGACTCTTGGTTTCAGCTCAGGGGGTGATCTCAGGGTCGTGAGACTGAGCCCCACGACAGGCTCTGCGTTCAGTGTGGAGTCTGCTGGAGACTCTCCCTCTCCCTCTGCCCTTCCTGCTCATGCTCTCTCTCTAAAATAACAAAGAAGGAGCACCTGGGTGGCTCAGTCGTTAAGCGTCTGCCTTCGGCTCAGGTCATGGTCCCAGGGTCCTGGGATCAAGCCCCGCATCAGGTTCCCTGCTTGGCGGGAAGCCTGCTTCTCCCTCTCCCACTCCCCCTGCTTGTGTTCCCTCTCTCACTGTGTCTCTCTCTGTCAAATAAATAAATTTAAAAATCTTTAAAAAATAAAATAAAACAAAACAAATAAATCTTTAAAAAAATAAAATAATTTCAGCTGCAGAATAAGCTGCATGTCTGATAAGGATGAAACACCATGTAGCACCATAATCCAAGGGCTACAAGAATATTTAATGAGACAAGAAACTGTTCATGAGGGTGCCTGGGTGGCTCAGTTGGTTAAGCTACTGCCTTCGGCTCAGGTCATGATCTGGAGTCCCCGGATCGAGTACCGCATCGGGCTCCCTGCTCAGCGGGGAGTCTGCTTCTCCCTCTGACCCTCCCTCCTCTCATGCTCTCTCTCTCTCAAATAAATAAAATCTTTAAAAAAAAAAAAACAGTTCATGATATATTACGTGGAAAAAAGATTTCTGTAAAATACAGTATCGTGTGTGGGGTGTCAGCGTGTGCGCGTGTGTGTGTGTGTGTATGAGTAAGAAATCTACAGTTCTATAGCTAAAAAAAAGCATCTGCAAGGGTATATTCCAAATTAACTTAATGGTAATTAATTCAGTGGTTTAGTTTCTGAACAGTGAGATTATAGATGATTTGTATTTTTATCTGTGGCATACTCAAACACACATTCACTCAATTATTTCACATCCAGGCCCTGGGTATACGAAGGGGAATGTAATAGACCCTTCCTTCAAGTTGCTCACAGCTTGGGGCGATCCAAACACAGAGATATACCATGTAAACACAAGGACAAGACAGAGGAGAACCCAGAAAGGGACAGTAAGCTTTCTGGATGAGGTTATCCCCAAGCAAGGGGCAGGCCAGACCACGGCTGGAGGAGAGCATAAACACCAGTAGAACCAGCTTGGGCAACCACAATGGCATGGCTGTCGGGAGTTCAAAGTGAGACTCAAAAAAGAGTCACGCATGAGTAACTGGGGAGAAACAAACCCTGTGGTTTCAGCTGGATGACCGTGGGGCTCTCTCCTGTTCCTACACCAGCTCTGGGAAGGACGGCAAGGCCCGGCAGCTGTCAGCAACGTGGAAACACAAACTCTCCAGCTGAGCTCTAGAGACCACAAAGGTGACTTACTGGGTTCATCATTTGGACATTCCTTGTTAAAAATTAGGTGTTCCTAAAAAAATAAAATAAGGGCGCCTCGGTGGCTCAGTCAGTTAAGCATCTGCCTTCGGCTCGGGTCATGATCCCAGGGTCCCGGGATCAAGTCCTGCATCGGGCTCCCTGTTCAGCGGGGAGTCTGCTTCTCCCTTTGCCCCTCCCACCTGCTCGTGCTCGCTCGCTCTCTCTCCCTCTCACAAGCTCGCGCACAAAAATAAATAAAATCTCTTAAAAAACCAACACTTAAAAAATAAAATAAGGTGTTCTCCCTCTGCAAGTCTGACTCATAAATTGCTGTGATCAATAAATCATATTGTAGCCAAGACCACACATCGTGACTGCCATGGGCCACCACGCGCCATGCAGAGGAGCTACATGGTCAGATCTGCAGATTTGGCAGCTGGATAGGAGATGCACTTGCAGGGTTTCAGCCCAGTGGCAGGCAATCTCAGAAGCAACAGGAATTCCTTCACCTGTCATGGTCCCGGTGAGAGAGGAGGAGCATGTGACTAAGGGCAGGGCAATAAAGAGCAGGGGACAGATTAAGTGACATATTTAGGAACTAAAATGAGAGTAGAACTTAATAACTGAATGGATAACGAGGTTGAAGAGAAACTGAGAGTCAACAAGGAGTGGCAGCTTTGACGATGGGGTGGTTTTATGGCCTGAGTTAGAGAAGAGTAGAGGAGGAATAGCTTTGGGAGGAGGCCATATTCCATATTATGGAATATGGTGCAGCTGTTAAAATGATGGTTGGAACTTGAAAGATCTCAAAGACATATGTTTGAATGAAACAAGCAATTTCAGAATAAGCATAAGAGTAGATAACATTTATCCAGTGTTGGCTGGATGCCAAGCCTTGTGCTAAGAGCTTTATGGACAACAGCCCTGGGAGGCAGGTAATCCTGCTACTACCCTCATTTACAGTCAGAGAGTCAGACACAGAGAGAAGCAGAGTAACCTGCCCAAAGAAACTCATCTAGAAAGTACCAATCTAGGATGAACCCAGCTCCAAGGCCTCCCAGCCTCCTGCGTCTGCACAGCCCGAAGTACCACCTGATCAGGCAAAGATAGGGATGTATAAAAACAAATCAACAGAGAGGCCTGGCAAGATTCTTCTTGTTTGAGGACGCCTGATCACATGCTGTTGTGGACATCCGCTCAGGCAGAGAGTGAGCCAAGACAGCAGCTGATTGCTTCTGCAAGAAGCAAAGGGATCAAGGTTCCCAAAGAAGCAAGAACATCCTATCTTTCACACATTATATTAGCCAACCAAGCCTGAAGTTTTTTTGTTTTTTTTTTTAAAGATTTTATTTATTTGGGCACCTGGGTGGCTCAGTTGGTTAAGCAACTGCCTTCGGCTCAGGTCATGATCCTGGAGTCCCGGGATCGAGTCCCACATTGGGCTCCTTGCTCGGCAGGGAGTCTACTTCTCCCTCTGACCCTCCTCCCTCTCGTGCTCTCTGTCTCTCATTCTCTCTCTCGCAAATAAATAAAGTCTTAAAAAATAAAAAAATAAAAAATAAAATAAAAAAAGATTTTATTTATTTATTTGAGAGAGAGAATGAGATAGAGAGACAGAGCATGAGAAGGGGGAGGGTCAGAGGGAGAAGCAGACTCCCCGCCGAGCAGGGAGCCCGATGCGGGGCTCGATCCCGGGACTCCAGGATCATGACCTGAGCCGAAGGCAGTGGCTTAACCAACTGAGCCACCCAGGCGCCCAAGCCTGAAGTTTTAGCAAAGACCTCCGCCACAGGCATCTGTGTCTCCTCCTTCGCCCCTCATGTTACCAAACACTGCTCTGGAAGCTCCTGGAAGGGAAAAAAAAACAGGTCAGTGAAGGACAGCTGTATATCCTGCCTGCCTGAAAAGGAGCCTTGAAATCGCCCCTCAAGCAAGAGCGTCATTAGTGATACAAACTAAAGGAATCCTTGGAAACAAACAGCACAACTGATGTGACATCTATCTTTTCTTTTAGAATCACTTGTATTAAATGTCAAATACATTCCAAACTGGGCATTCGAACAAAAAGAGAAAAAAGAAAGCCTACTGAAAGGCAGAATCCTGTTTCTTACAAAGTCAGAATCTGTGACTGTAGAACATCTGGAACTCTGTGTTTGCATAAGAGAAAGCAAGTACGAGGGACAGATGAGACCCTTTCTATCGTCTGCAACCACAAGTAGAATGCGATGATTATTTTTTTAAATATTTTATTTATCTATTTGAGAGAGAAAGAGAGAGAGCACAAAAGCAGGGGGAGGGGCAGAGGTAGAAGCAGACTCCCCGCTGAGCAGAGAACCTGATGCGGGGCTCGATCCCAGGACCCTGAGATCATGACCTGAGCTGAAGGCAGATGCTTAACCGACTGAGCCACCCAGGTGTCCCCGCAATGATTATCTTTGCCCTAAAACTTTAAATAGGTGGTTCCACTTCCTTCTCCAGAAGAGCTTATTTTCCTCTCTTAAAAGTACTTTAGTTACACAATTTGAGCATTCTTTCCCAACACTGGAGAGGCAGAGACACAAGAAGTCTCTCTGTACATCAAAACCTGCTTGCCGAGCAAAGACAGTCATCTTCCACGACTACGGATTCTTACAGACCTACGAATCCAAGTCAGCCAGGGTCCCCATATAAAAGGCTGTTTAACTTCCCTTCTTTTTTCAATCAAGGCTCTTCCCTCCCAACATTTTACATGAAAACTTTCAAACGTGAAGAAAAGTGGAATGAATTATCCAATGAATACCCCTATAGCTACTGTCTAGAGTTCACAATCAACATTTTACTGTGATTTTCCTTATCACAATACCGTCCACCTACCCAACTCTCTATTCATCTGTCAGTTCATCTTTGTATACATATTTCCATTTAAATGTAATGAAAGCTTCTGAGTTAGGGTATGATAAGATCAATTTGCCTTTCCACATGCTCACGCCGTTAGCCAAATGAAGCATGAGTGGGAGGAGGGTAAAAGTGAAGCGGTAACACAGCTGGGAAGCTCTGCAGAAAGGTCCAGAGATGCGCAGGGTCTCTGGAGTGAGAGACTTGGGTTTGAACCCCTGCTGTCACTTTTTAGCTGTGTCACCTTGGGCAGGTCATCTCATCTATAACAATGGCCTGGGGCG